TAATCTACAGTGTCCATGAACCATTTGTAGCAGTTCTGTACATAGAACTTATGGATGCATCTCACTATTTGTTCAACAGCTCCAACATGGCCACATATGCCACTATGAGCCAACATGAAATCTGTCTAAGTTGGGCTGAATCCTAGAAGATTCACAATTGCTTACACTAGGAAAACATACCTTGTGCTTTTTGTGCTTTTTGTGCTTTTTGTGCTTTTTTTTGTCAAAAAAGCAGAAAAGCAACAAGGCAATGTTGCATATGTATTATTAAACTCATTTTAAGATATACATAAAAAATAAAAAGCACAAAAAGCATAAAAAAGCGAAAAAGCAAAGGGTATGTTTTCCTGATGTACCTCAGCACCCTAATCCGGAGAGTGCCTGCACGTGGAAGCGCGCGTCGCGGTCGCGAAGCACGCGGATTATTGTAGATCTCAGAACGGAATTCAGACTCGCTCAGAGCATCAGATCAATCTCAGACGTGCCTCAGACGTTTCAGACCTTCAGACAAGCTCTCAGACTTTGCCGTTTTCCTGATCTTGACCGCGCCTGACCTTGGTCTGACCGTGGGTCGACCTCACCTGACTGCAGCATGACTGCATCTGACTACAGCTTTTCACTGAGCTAGTGTTTTGCCTAGCACTCCACACAGACAACAGTACTGGTCGATGGCCTGAGCTTGGGCCCTCAGACGCATGTATATATACTACGATGTAGCTACGGACTATTCATAGCCTCTCTTCTGCTTCACCTGCAGCTGCACCTAGTACTCCAATATTCACATCATGTTGTCACTGACTCTGTACATTATCATTTAGCGCAGTGTCACCCTTCATCCCCATGCAGAAAAGCCCTTTCATATCCAACAAGAGTAATGCTACTGCAACGAGCCCCTCCGGCGCGATGTGCAACACGTAAAACGCTGTTTTTTCTGACGGCATGTTCAGCGACGCCCGCGTGGTGGATAAGAGAGCCGTTGTCTCGTTGGCCATCACTGCGAGGCGATACATCGCAACAATAGACTGCAAGGACTACTGTGTAAAGCGCTTGCATTCGAGGAGTAAAGCAGCAGGATGCGTACCAGAATGGATATGAAAAATGATATCAGTAGCACGCGGCTTGATTGCACACTACGCGGCCGTGTCTTCCATGCCCAGATTGCAATGGCATTAGTAGCCTGCAGCTGAAGCAGGACAATGATCGTCGATGCGTATCTATGCAATAGTGTAAAGCGGTTCGGCGCGCACGAAGTATGTCAAATATAGGCGCACCTTGTCTGCTGTACGAGCTTTCCCTTATTGGAATCCGTGATACCCGACCAGTACAACCCACCAGATACGGCGCTGAGTATCACCGCAACCCAGTATACAAAGCTGATAATACGCAACAGGCGGCGAATTTGCATTCGTCGGTCAGGATCATCTTCCATGGGCGACATGGGTAGCGGTTGAAACACCCCGGCATCCGACGATATGGCGTATTCCTCCGTCAGCGGCAGCCGTGTATCACTTCTGGACGACAATGCGAATGGTGCAGCTTTTCCGCCGACAGCGACTTCGCCGCGAGTGGTATAGACGAGGTACGCGCGGAGGATAACGGTAAGTGCTTGTCCAAGTCCAATGAAGCCTGTACCGTAAGCTCCTTGCAGGTACGTCACGTAGAACCTCTCCGTGCGCTTGACAGGGCTGCGCGCCTCGGCGGCACGCAGTGAGAAGTTGATCACCCTACATGGATTGTGACGATTCAGAACGCGGCAGACGCAAGAGCGACGGACGTACCTTTCGATACAAAAAAACATTACGGAGATAATAATATATGTTCGTCGTTGCTGGTTCATCAGGCGGTACACCGCGACAGGAAGACACAGAGCAAAGAAGACGATGAACACAATAGAAGGATCGAAGTCATGAGAGAACGGGACACCTCCTACTGGGGAGGGAAACTTGATAGGACTGGACGACATCGTACCAGTACTTGTGGGCGGAATGATCATCTTCGCGTTAACTGGTGGCCTTTATATGTGTCGACGCTGTTGTGGGCGCCCATAATTGATTAGCCTGGGGCTATACTGTACATCTTCCTCAGGAGCCACTTCCCGCGGCGGCGCGCCGGGAGGGTAGCAACAACCACGCGTGAAACAGAAATTCCTGTGCCCCCCAGAAGCCTACGGGCGTGGCGTCCATGAGAGGCGGCGGCGGCGGCCAGAGGGCGTGCCGAGGCCGCAAACCGTCAAGCAACGGCCGTCAGCTGGAGAGAAACATGCAGTGAACTTTCGGAGTCGATGTTGCGACGTACGGGCCATACTAAGCGATGATGAGCTGCGCATGGAAGAAGCATGGCTTTGCCAATCCTACTGCACCGGAATCAGGTGCAATGTGTAGTCTGTGATATAAGGTGAGAATCAGCAGATCAATACACTTACCAGCGGCGTTCTACAAGGACGAAAAATTGCTGCGCTATCGAATGCAGTGATAGCTTTGTTGATCAGCCTGCGGAACTTTACATAACATGGCGGTGATCGAGCCGTCTGAAGCTAGCGCGCATCCGCCCCAATACAAAGTGAACTAAATTGAAGAAGCAAAAGCGCGAAAGTCAAAAGCTGTTCCAGTTGCGGCACTTCCACCTCGCAGGTCGAGAAAATGTTAGTTGCTCGGTATTTCGCTCAAACTTGGTTGAAGCAACTCACATTGTCCGACGCCCATACATCGATGCTGTGGCCTTTGAAGTACGTACGGCTATACTTTGATATGCTAGCGGTGATGCTTGGCGCTGTTGCACCCGGTCACACCACGGAGGTGCGACCATCTGCTGCGGGCGTACCAGGTCGAATTTGATGACCCGCCGAACAGCGGGCTCCGAGCCGACGCGGTATGTGCCGCCGATGATACAACGCTAATCACGCAGTGCTGTATTCCTTGACCATATTGTTTATCGACTTGCGGGGAGCAACAACCAGGCGCGAGAGCTTGAAGTTAAAGCCGTTTGGTGGCCTCTGCTACCAGCAGGCGTATATTGCATCCTCGTCATATGATTTGAATACAATGTATCGTCAACACCCAACTACCTTCAAGCACGCAGCGGTGTTGGCGAGAGACAGATACGCAGCGCCCAGGCTTGAAATGCGGAGAGTACATACAGGTTTTTGGATTTGACCGAGCGAGACCCTAACGGGTGAAAAACCGGGGTCGATCGATCGACGCACGGTTTGGCCGTCGTCAACGGCGCCTCCTCGGCCAAAGACAACATGACACGTGTGCCAACAACCTTGGTCGAGAACCAACAGAACCCTCCTCTCTACTACAACGAGAAAAGGGAGGGATAATGATAGAAGCAACAGCTCACCCGGCCACAAGCACATGCTGAGCATGCATGGCCTCCGCGGCACCGGACAGCAGCCATGATGACACTGCGTGTGACGGAAAAGAGACAGATGATATTAGGATGGTCATCAGAGTCATTAAATACCTCAGAAGCGAGACATGCAGGGAAAGGCGAACATGTACAAAAGCAGACAAGGAGAGTGTGAATCCATCAGTGCGGACGAACATGAACATTGTGTACCAATCCAGAAAACAAACGATACAGGCGCAGCCGAAGAGAAATCCGGACAAGGTAGCGTATAGGGCGACCGTTTGCTGTGCTGCTTTGCTGCCACGTCTGCTCACAGCGATGTCTCGGGCTTGACCCGCCATATCACCGCTGCAGCGGCAGCACTCAAGACTAGCACGCCGATTGCCGTCGACAGATTATTGAACTGTGGCTGATGCATCTTAATAAGAGCAGCCTCCAGATATACAATTCACTCACCAGGTCTCTAGGTGGCTCCTTCGTGCGAGAGTCTGTCGCCGTCCCAGATATTTCAGTAGATGTCGTCAACGGGTGGTTCAACACCGATGACTCCGGCGTGATGGGGAATGGCATACCCTTGACATGGCGCACCGAGTCGGCAGTGCTAATGACGCTCGCCGCCTGCGTCAGCGCATGCGCCTCCGAGTCGCTCCCACTCGAGTCGTCCGTCATCCACGGGGAGCGGTGGCGGATAGACGGCGTCGGAAACGCGCGCTCGCTCACTTCCTCCGACACCGACGACGTCGACGAGCCCACTTGTGCGTCCATGCTGTTGCCCGTGCTCGTGGACGCAGAGCGCGACCGCGTTCGCCCCCTCGACGCGCTCGTCCGTTTCCGCCGCTGCCGCGGCCGCGTCGACTCGGCCGAGAGGCTTCGCGGACTAGGCGGGGTGACGAGCCCGCCGCTATGGCTCAGCTTCGCGGTGCCGTTCGGTTGGGGCTGAAAGTGCTGGGCCTGCATCGCGGCGAGGGTGACGAGGCTCGCCTCCACCTTGGACGTCGTCTGCCCAAACCCCTCCTCCACCGCCCGCACCCGCAACTCCCACTCCTCCTTCGCGCGCCGGAGCCGTTCGCGCTCCTCCGACCACTCCTCCTGCACACTGCTCCACCGGCCCTCCACGTTCTTCTTCCACTCGTTTACCATCTCCGTCAGCGACTCCCGCTCTCGCGCCCGCTCCTCCTCTCCAGCGCGATTCGAGCTCGCCGCACACTCCACGGCGCGCACCGCGTCCGTGAGCTGCTGCGTCGTCTCGCTCTGTACTCGGACCTGCGACTGCGTATCGTGCACGAGCGTTTCCAGCGCGGCAACCTTCGATTCGAGCAGCGAGATGGTCGACTGTGCAGTGGTATGTTGCGCTTCGAGGGATCGCGAAAGCTCCAGCGCGGTCTCCAGCTCCTTGGACAGCGACGCGAGCCGATCCGAGATGTCATCCGAGGGGGAAGGGGCGCTAACGGGCACAAGCACGGGCGAGGGTGGCGACGGAGATCGTGGTGGCTCCTGCTCGCGGGCACGCTGACGCGCAGACTCGTGTTCGTCGTCGTCTTCGCCCATGCCCATGCCTGTCGGCTCGGGGGTCCCAGGCCGCCCGAGCTCGTCTCGCCGTCTCCGGCGCTCTTCTTCCTCCTCCTCTGCCGCGATCTGCTCCTCGTCCTCCTCGTCGACCCGCTCGAGCTCATGGGGGACGACGGTGTCGATGCTTCTCGCATCATCGTCATCCGACATGTACTGCTCCTCGTGGGCCTCTTCGTGCCGCATCTCTGCGCGGGGCGGGCTGCTGTTGTGCTGCCGCAGAAGCTCCTGCTCACGTTTCCGGTCCTCCATCAGCTCCCGCATCGAGCTCACCTCACGCTTGATCACCTCGTGCTCCGCCAGCATGCCCTCAAGCAAGCGGATCTTCTCGACGTGCGTCGCAAGCGACAACTGCGTCTCACGGAGCTGCGACTGGATCTCATTCAGCGCAGACGCGTCCATCGCCGGGGGCACCGGCTGCTGGCTCGCTTCTTGTTGCTGTTGAGTCTGCGGGGGCATGACAGGGGGCAGGGTGGACGGGTATGGAGGGAGATTAGGGGGCTAGGAGACCCGCCGTTAGCACATAGCCCACAACAGACGAGGACTCGCGAGCGTACCAGATTACCGCCGAGGGTATCGTGTATTTCGTTCATTGCGCCGGTCAGTGAGTGCAGCTCCGCACTCGTATCGCGGCTTTTCTGCAGCTCGCCCTGGAGTCTGCTCAAAATATGGTCAAAGGTCAGGCCGCTCTTCCCAGGCGGCCGCACGTTTCCGCCCATGCCGCCCATGCCTATTAGGCCCTGCTGCTGGAGCGAGGGCCGTCGCTGCTGGCCGGGGGCGCCGTTGGGGCCGGGCTGCTGCCCGCCTACAAAGTTGAATGCGCCGCCCGCCGAGCCCTGCCCTGCGACGCTACCGTAACTAGGGGGGTTCTGGGACGCCTCCGCGCGGGCAGCGGCCTGGGCGTCCTGCTCCGAAAAGACGCAGACGACGCGGGCGGCGACCTTATGGTGGACGATGGTCTTGTTGTCCTCGCCGACGATGTCGATGCCGAATTCCTGTTATCGGGTGAGACGGGCCGCGGGTGTACCCCGGCTACAGCGCACGCACCACAATATCGTCCGTCTTGAGCTCGAACGGCTCCGACTCGAGGCCCTCTGCGCTGAGTCGCTCGCCGTTGATGAACGTCCCGTTGGAGCTTTTCACATCCTTGATGTAGATCTGCCAGGAGAGGAGACTGCATCAGCAAGACCGCACGGAGCAGAGGGGGCAGATGTCCGGTCGTGCACACCTTGCCGCTCTCCTCCCACACCTCGGCATGCTGCCTACTCAGGACTTTGGAGTCGAAATAGCCGTTGCGCTCGGCAGGGACGGTCTTCGCATTCGTCTGGCGGCCGATCTTGACGCGCTGGTTGTTGAGGAGAGAGATGTGTTTGGGGATAAAGGAGTCATTGAGGGGATAGAGGTACAGAGCGGGGAGGGGTATCGGAACATGCGGTGTCGTGAACGGGGCAGGCATCGTGGACGCCGTCGACGACGATGAGGACAGCAGGAGAGCCTTTGTTTGTCGCCGCTTGGGCTCGAACGCTGACTCCCCGCCAGCACGTGGCCCGCTCGCGCGCCTCAGCCCCTGGGCGTCTATTCCAGCGCGCCACCCAGCCGAAGTGCGCCCGAGCCGGAATGGACGCGTCCCCGCAGAACCGTTGTATGAGTCTATGGCCAATGCCATTCATCGTACATATATCATACACTTTCTACATCCAAGATGTGCGTGAGGTACACCGAAAGCAAGAAGATAAAAAATGTACAGACGAAGAAGGATGGGAGGGGGAGGGGATTGCAGGGGGATGGGAGGGAGGTGGATGGATGGCAAATATGTACACGTATAGTACGTATAGTACAGCGGAACACATTTTGTCCATCCCGCAATCAAGATACTGAGGGATAAAATACTCAAGAAGCGCAGACGGACGTCAGCCGCCGCGGGGGGTAGCTAAATGGAAAATGAGATATCGGAGCACCAAGAGGAGGGGGCCGACGTATATATCCCCCCACACACCCAACGACGAGGGAGGCTGAACTAGATCAGCCCGAGGTATATAGCCGTGCGTTTGCGGCTGCCTACGGAGTGACGCGGTCGAGGGCGCGCAATTCACACTCGACGCTTTCGCCCTTGCCGTTGGATAGCATGTCGAGGATGGGCTCGCGGCCGTCTATGCGCATTTTGACGCGGAACCAAACAGCATCTCCGCGGGTGTCTTGGAAATTGTCGTTCCTCGAGGTGAGGCCGACGCCGATATATTTAAGACTTGGCACGTGCATGGCTGCGCGGCGGGCGATCGCGAGGACGGTGTTGGCGTCAAAGGTACTGCCGCCGCCGTGTCCAAGGCTGGTGCTGCCGTAGAGGGACAGGCCGACGAGGGGAATTTTTCCAAAGCGGGGGACGTGTTCGTTCTGTGGGGCATGTATGTTTAGCTCTGTGTGCCTAGGCCGCGTGAGAAGGGCGCACCATCCAGGACATAATATCGTCACTGTTATCGCGGGCGTGCGATTCGTCTGCGCTTGTGACGAGCTCCAGGAACCGCAAGCGCGGGATCACGCTGACCATCCTGTCAAGAACGTCCCCGGCGAGCGTGGCCTCTATCACGCACGACAAGACCACGGGGCTGGTCTGCCTGAGGAGCTCCACCGTACGGGCGATGACCTGTGCACGCGAGAAGCGAACAAGCGCGGCCCCGAGGACGTAGCGCAGCTCGAGGTGACGCACCGCGCACGAAAAGTACGGCAGGGGGGAGCTAGTGTCCACGTAATCGAGGCTGGACCAAACTGGTTTCGGCGCCTCCTCTTCAATTGAGCATTCGGGGGCGAAAGTGATGGTCCGCACGTTCGGAAACTCACGGGAGATAGTGGACAGGAGGGGGACACGGCCACCGAGGCCGAGAACGCGTACGCCGGGGGAGACGTACTGGTCGCTAAGGCTCTCGAGAAGGCAGGCGCACTTCCAGAGATTGAGCTGCTTAAGGGAGGAGGCATAGTGGTCAAATGACTCGGTATCGCCCTTTACGCGCGCGCTGCCGTCCTTCCAGAGACCAAACTCGAGACGGAACGGGCGGCAGATTGTGCGCTTGAGCATGGCCAGGGTCTCCTTGCCCACGTAGGAAAAGGAAAGGTCGCGGAGGTACTCGAGTTTGGTGAAGGCGTCTGCGACGGCCGGCTGTGTCTGGAGGAGGGACTCGAGGTCGCGGATGTGGAGCTTGCGGAGACTGACGGCCTGGCTGAGCATGTCTGCGAAGATGAGGGCGCACGAGTAGTCATCCTTCCAGATTTCGAGACCGTCCTTTTCGGAGATGGAGACGAATGCGCCCTCCTGGACGTCGAGGATGCGGAGATGGCGGAGGCGGCCGCGGACGTCGGCGAGCATGTACTTGCAGAAGAGAGTCATCTGGTCTGGGCCGCTGAGGGACGAGTCCTCGCCGCCGAGGACGACGTCGGAGAGGAAGCGGGGCATGGCGACGGAGTAGGCGTCGTGGCAGGTGAGGGCGAGCTGGATGGCGTCTGGGGGGCGGACGAAGGAGAGGATGAGGGCGAGGACGTCGTTGTTGAGGTCAAGAAACTTCATGGAGGGCATGCGGCGGATGGGGGAGGGGCGGAAATGGAGGACGCCATCCGCGGCGACTGGGGACGAGAGACGGTGAGCGGGAGACGGGGGGATGGAGGGGGACGCACCTGACGGGGGGTAGCCATGGATGACCTGTAGCATGGTGGAGGAAGCGGAGGGCG